CACAACAGTTCCATCGTCTAGCACATCGTCTCCAACCACATCGGTTCCATCGACTAGCTCTGTGCCAACGACCACAAGTGTACCATCAAGCAGCCTATCAAGCTCTGTATCGTCTTCGACGTCTAGTCCAACTACAACTGTTGTTACATCTCCAAGTACATCGACTGTTTCGACGGTATCAACGTCATCTTCGATTTCGTCATCTTCCTCGTCCATTACTAGTAGTTCCTCTACACCCTCGACATATGTATCTTCGTCAACCAGCACGTACATAAGGTATGTGAAGTTCTCCTTGAGAGAAAATAATTGTATTGCTTTTGGTATTAATGTGTATTTCATATCTCACTATAAATTGGTGTGGTTRTCAATATAGATGACATGTACAAGGAGATATTTAACTTGGAGTTGTATTTTATGTAGGAAGACTGCGGAAAGTAATTTCTCTAATATAAATCTTGCATAACAACAGCGTTGCACAAAAAATACCTTATATGTAATAACTTTTAAATTTAACTCTGTGCTTTCTGAATGAAAATATCGCCTAATCAAAGTTTTCTAAGGATTTTTGAATTTTTTTCGTCTTGTGTTAAACTAAGGCTAGATAGTTTTGCATAATATCTAGACGTTGCGATAGATCAATATGAGAGAGGGCATATTTTACTTACATCTTTAAGGACAAAAGGAGATAAAGACAAACATAGAATAGAGATAAAAAATACTTCGAGGGTTTTGCGATCATTTTCAACTCATCGGTCGAAGTTGCCTTTGCCTTTTTCGACTCGTTTTGTATCGGATATCTCAAAACTCTAGTTGTGAAATGGTTTCCCTCGTGCCCATAAATGACAAAACTCTCGTAAATAAGTCGTCCCCTATGAATTTTATAATTGGCTATTAATTGCCAACAAGTCAGCTGAACGAAAATGGAAGGATGACAAGGCGACAGCATGACGTCACAGCGGCCATTATGGGTTACCAAAACAATACATTTTCTCTCCTCCGGTATCCGGAATTGAAGTCTATTTTTTTGCAAATACTGTGCAGAAAGTTTCTACTGTTTATGGCTGCCTTCTCACGTGAGTGAAAACGCTCTATAGTCCCCTTCACAGTTCCTTGCGCCAACTTGGAAGGTAGCCGTGCCTTTGTATCGAAGCGAGACGAACGGTGAGCTTACAATGATAGAGGCATGTAAGTAATCGTTCAAGGTGTTGAAAAAGGTCTTTATCATTGCAAGCTCACCATTCGTCTCGCTTCCATGCAATGGCATGGTTACCTTTCAAGATGGCGCGAGGAATTGTGCGGGAAGGGACTATTCAGTAGGTCTTACAATAGAAGTAGAAGGCGAGTTAAAATATCAAAGGAGTTTTTTCTTATCGGTTTTGTAAGTCTTAAACTTTGCAAATTTTAAGATTTTGGAATTAGATGAGTGTGCTCTCGCTTGAACAAAATTCGACCAGGGTGCTTTGTGTAGAGAAACGGGTTCACTTCATTTAAAAATAAACGAGCAAAGAAATGAGCAGAAAAGATAAAATTAAAAAAAATTAAATTAATTGACTGAAAGTACTTATTTATGTCAGTGTCATTTGAACTTGAACTGTAAAAGTCACTCAGTAAAACAGTGCGAAAACTTCTTCTCCTCTACTGACTACTACCGTCCAGCAAGCCTGGTGAGCCAAGATGTTATAAAGCAAGTTTAGAAGTACACATGTAGTATAGTTAAACTTACAGTTCTTTACAATTGACATTGCAAAGTGTAAGAATATGCCTGGTCACACTGCTAGAAGTAGAGCTAACGATTTTTGCACATCATATAAACGAAAATGTGCTTTGATTAATAAGCTCATCCAAAACACACGAATCAAGTAATCAACGACATTACAGTCAAAACGGCCGTCTAGTTTACCGTCCTAGATTCCACTAATGGTTTTATTATTCGAATATTTAAATCTATTATTCTTTCTGAGAATAAGAAGACTTAGGATTCAAAATAATGAACGATTCAAAAATCGAATTCTGATTGGAGCATGGTGTTCCTTATAAGGAATAATCCAATCAGAATTCGAGTTTTGAATCGGTTATTATTTTGAATCCTAAGTCTTCTTATTCTCAGAAAGAATAATAGATTTAAATA